AATAGACCCTTTCAAGGTTAACGCCGCCATTTTGCCGGGGGTGCAAAACTGCTGGGGCGAACGCAAAATGTACAGTGAATGTATGGGAAAAGTTGAGAAAATGATGCTCGATAATTTGAGGAAGGTTGACATCGTGCAATTTCTATGAATTACAAACTAAAGATACCAGACCTACCAGTTTACCGATCAAATTTGAGAAATGAAGTCTCGCGAAAAAAGCCGCAAATTAAGATTTTGATTTTCCATATATTTGTCTCTAAAACCAAACCGCCGTTTCCGGGAAAATTTAAAAGCATTTGTATGAAAAACTAAAAATAAGATTTCTCACTTCTCAGCGAGCCTGAACCCTTCACGTTTAATCGGCAACATCTTTTGCTAGGTATCTTTACTTCGTAATTCATAGAAATTGCAGAATGTCAACCTTCCTCAAATTATCGAGTATCAATCTCCCGACTTTTTCCATACATTCACTGTACATTTTGCGCTCGCCCCAGCAGTTTTGCACCCCCGGCAAAATGGCGGCGTTAACCTTGAAAAGGTCTATGGCCAAGAATGGCCAAGGATGGAAAAGACTTTAGTTAGATTGCAAATGACAAACGTGAAAATTTTCGGAGAAAATATTTCAGATGCACAGATTGTGAATTAGTTCCTTAACGTTCCAATTTTCACCCGACTTCTGTGCTAATCCTGTGTGCTCGCATTAACAATCTCTACCACATCGATCATTATATGGTTAAAGGCTGATAGTTTCTAAAGAAACTGTTTGGGGCTGTGTCGGTGGGGGTAACGAAATAATTTCAATATATCAACAAAGTTGAAATGGTAAATTGGCCACCGTTACGATTATAAAAGCTGACCTTTTGAGCGTTAGCCCTTCGTCGGAGCGAATGGCTAACCATTATATGGTTAGATTTGAAATCTGTTCTTGTCAGTAGTAGCGCCATAGATGAAAAATTAATAAAGTCATTTGGTCGCTGCTTTTCAGATCCTGAGAGGCCTAGTGCCCACAGCTCTCCATCAGAGGAAGCAGCCCCGGTCTTCATGAATGGCGAGGGACCTGGTGCCGAGATCAATGGACACATTCCAGTTCGGAAGCGTTACATCGAGTCAAGTCTGGATGAACTGGCCATGGAGATTGAAGCTTATGAAGCTAGCGATGAGAAGCCGAAAAAAGCTGACTATGAAAACGGTGTGAACACAGATGAACAAAATGACGAACCAGAGTTAATAAAGGAGACTCCATCTCCAATCGTTGTTATGGCAACTCCTGTTATTGAGCCCGTGGTGGAAAAGGTGGTGAAAGAACCTGTCGAGGAACCAGTCAAACTTATCGAGGTAAGGTGTTTAAAGCGACCGTTATTTTTTTAATGAGTTACGGACGCCTTACTAGACATACATGTGGATAGCGTTGTTGGTTATAGTTTTGTCAACTGTTTCTCTACTTTTTATAGGAAGCTGAAGTTCCCGAAGTAGAAGTCGCTAAAGAGGAGAACAAAGAAGCAGAAGAAGAGGAAAAAGGACAAGAGGAAGAGTTGAAAGAGCAAGAGATACAAGAACAAAACGGAAAAGAAGATGAAGGAGAGAAGCCAAAGGAACAAGAAGAGGTGATAGAAAAGAAAAGTAAAACACGCAGGTCATTCAAGTTTTCGTTCAAAAGGAAACAAAGTGACAAGAAGACAGTTAAGGAGGAAGAGAAAGTCGCCGTGGTCGAGGAGAAAGCTGCTGCAGCTGAAGAGAAAGACGCCGCCGCTGAAGAGAAAGACGCCGCAACTGAAGAGAAGGCCGCCGCAGCTGAAGAGAAGGCCGCCGCAGTTGAAGAATTGGAGGAAGAAATTAAAGAAAGTAATGACGAAGTCATGAAAGAAGAAAGTGTCAAAGACGAGGAAATGAGAGAAGAAGGCGAAAAAGAAGAACAACTACAACAGGCGGAGAGTAAAGAAGAAGGATTAAAGGATGAGGATAAGAAAGACGACGAGACCCAAGAACAGGAAGAGAAGGAAACAGAAATCGAGAAATCAAAAGAACTTGAAGAAATGACCGAACAAGCGTCAGAACTGAACACCAAACCCAAACTGCGAAGGTCCTTCAATCTGTTTAGAAGGAGACCGGTCAGTATGAGTGCAGCCGACAGGGACACAGATAAGGATGAAGAAAAGGTGTTCAAGAGAGATGACCCAATCAGACACTCCTACCATGCAGGGGACTTACCTGTTCCAGACCCATCTAACCTGCGTAAGTGCTTTAGATGTAGTGGACTCTCGTTAGGGACCTCTCATTTATAAGGGGGAGTGGGGTAGGGGAATGGAGGAGGAGGCTCATTAACGTTTTAAGAAACTTAAAAGAGTAGTCACCAACGTGGGAATGGAGGTCTATCCGACCTGGTTTTTTTTTTGTTTTTTTGTTTTTATTTTTTTATGATCAGTTTTTTAGTCATCGAACAATTTGTTTCATTTTGACAGGCAAGTCAACCAGTCAATCTTCACTTCTCAGCTACTCGCCA